AGAAAAATTGTAAAGATTATACTGTTGACTTTTAAATAGAAAATTCTTCCTATGTTGTGCAACTTAATATATGCAACCCCATGAGCCGTCCAGTACCTTACATACTCAGGATTCAACAAGCCTTATTACCAGTTCTGAGGAACAGCTAGCTTTCAGGTAGGTGGGCAGCTAATTCTTAAGCACAGGCAAGTTCTTTTAATATAGGTTCATGAAACAGTAAAAGGATGTTGGTGGCTTCCAGCCTTGTGGGCATATTTACATTGTAATTGTACTGTTTGACAGTGATTCCTTTTCCTTCACTCAGTTCTCATGATTTTTTTAATGAAGATTTTATTTATTTGAGAGATAGTGACTGAGAGCAGGAACAGAGAGGAGAGGGAGAAGCAGGATTCAACACAGGTTCGATCCCAGGACCCTGGGATCATGACCTGAGCTGAAGGCAGATACTTAACCGACTGAGCCACCCAGGCACCCCAGTTCTCATGATTTATTGCATGAGTCTCCAAAGGCTAGCTTCCATGGTCTCTCGGGCTTGGCCCCGGCTGGCCCTGCCCTCCTGCTCTTTGAATCTACAATGTCCGTTTCTGATTGTCCATAGCTGCCTCCTATACGAATTCTGCCCCTGAGAAGGTGCAAATCTCTTTTTTCCTATTCAAATCAGTAGTTCCTGCCATTGGTTTAATGACCCAAAGCTAGCTACTTCACTGGAGTCAGTAGCAAACAGAGTTGAACTCACTTTAGTAAAAATCCAGGCTCCACTCAAATTTCATCTCCCAATTCCTTTTTATGTTTTCTGGTGGCGCAGGCAGGCCTGAAAAATGAATCAAACCAAGACATTTTGATAAGAAAATGAGATCAGCTTATTCCAGTCTTGAAATAACATCTCCCTCGAGTTCTCGGAAAACCTTTACATTGTTATCTTTCTTCCAACATCCACCCCCCGCAAATATTGAAAATGGAAACAGGTGTTTACTTGTACCAACTGCATGGCAATCCTGTTCCTAAAAAGGCCTGTGACAGATGAAAAAGAGATGATGCGTGCTGTTTCTTTGCCTTTTGAGAACAAGTCTGCTGTGATGGGGTCCTATATAAGTCGCTGCTAAGAATTTCAATGAGTACTGCCTTTCAAGAAAGAAATTCATCAGCGCATATCTAGAGCTTTACAAATGCCCTGCCCTTTGGTCCAGCAGATCCTCTTCCAGTAATCTATACTAAGCCCACACTTGACAATATAGTGGTTTGTCTACAGAACGTGCATTACATCATTATTTATGGTAACAAAAAGTGAGAAGAAGGTTACAAATGGAATGGAATGTCATAAAGGAATCCTCCATGGACATGCTGCAAAGTACACGCAATGGTATGGAAATAACAAGTTTTAGTATAAAATACTTTATCAACTGTCAATATATTCCTACTCAAAGTATACATTACATATATTCGTTGAAAGGAACCCACTGTGGAACGTGTTATCTCTGTATTGTGAAAATATGGGTAATTTCTGTTAACATATCTGTTTCTTTACTTTGTATATAAGCCTGTATTACTTCTAAAACCAGACAAGTAATTATTTTAAAGAAGAATGTCAGTCTTACCTTCAGGCTAAATCTCATTCTTTTTCTCCCTGTGGATACTCTTTTACATCGTATGCATCTATGATGCCACAGTCAACAAGGAAGAAGAGAAATAGGCAGTCAGGTCATAAAAATAAGCTGTCACATACCCATGACTCTTAAAAAAATACATACTTTTAGAGTACTTTACAATTTTGAAAGACTCTCACAGCAAGCAGTCTTGAAATCTTGTAAGCTCTATGAAAGCAGAAGTTTGTCTTGTTTGCCATCATATTCCAGCATCTAGAACAGTGCCAGGTATATAGTGGATATAGGGTTATATTTGCTAAATGAGTGTTTTTTGAACAGTAGTGGTCAAATAGGATATTAGAGGTGGTAACCTCACACAATATTCATGATGGCCCTCTGAGGAGGACAGACTAGGTGTTAGTATCCCCAGTTTATAGGAAACAGATGTTTATAGGAAGCAGATGCAAAATGATCAATTTGCCCAATATCACAGGGCTGGTAAATGGAAGATCTGGATTAGAATCAATTCTTTGAGGACTTCGTTCTTAGTATGATTTTAGGAGAATTTCACTGTTTCCTCATTGCCCTACTAAACAAAGGGCCATATGCCACGTCTTAAGGATTTTGTTTTCTAATCAGAATTTTTAAAATGTATAGGTTCAGAATTTAGTGTACCATGACTCATATTAATTCCTATGTTTCCTTACTGCCTCTTTTCTCCCCTATCAGAACTTGCTCTGCATCGTCTTGAGTTTTCTAAATAGAATACAGTCAAGATGGCCCTCCAGGTGGTTCATAGCAATATGAGGAGCCTTGATCCTTTCTATGGTATAAGTCTTAGGACTTTCTGAACACTTTCAACTATATCTTACTCGGAAAGACACAGGTTGTTTTAATACAAAGTACACACATACCAGGAGAGAAGGATGAATACCATCCTCCACCACCTCAAAAACTGGCCAGAGAAAGAACGAAGGCTTATAAATCCAGGAAGTTAAAGCACACCAAGAGCAACACTGAGTGTTCAATGCAGTGATGTCCCAGTAGGGATCATCCAAGGGAACAAAACCAGTCACTTTTCCAGCAGGTGCCCTTTGTGCTCGCATTTCCACAGTGGCTCCCTTCCTGTTTGCATCCATTGAGGCTTCACAGCCTCCATCCCTGTGGGGAAGAGTGACATGTAGCATGGCCTGAGTGTACTTCCTTCTGTTGCCTTGGCTCTTTTCACTGTGAACTAAGGTGCCCTACCGTTTGACATCGGGATACTGATCACAATGGCTCTTAAAACCTTTGAGAGTAGCCGCTATGCGACTCTATTACCAAGCACTAGCTTTACGCTGGTGTAGTTCTGCTCCGAGCCAATTCGTGACCCTCATGCTCAGCAGATTACTCTGTGAGCTTGACAGGCTACTAAAATGGGACATAACTTTTATTTAGAGTTAATTCAGTCTTTTATGTAAAGACGGGAAAGGGTTGAGAAATTTGGTAACGTTCATGGATATATGTAATTTTTTTCTTCATAAAGTATCTTTAAAGAAGTACTGAAATAAGGCAAGATTTTGAGTGAATTTACACTCGTACTTTCCTTGAGAAATACTAATGAATTATATACTAATGAATTGACTCTGTGTTTCCCATCCAGGTGTTCATTTCTTCACTTTTATGCAACAGGTATTTCATGAGCTCTTATGTGCCAGGCACTGAAGACACAGATGTAGATGATAGATACGGTCTTCTGTGAACAGTGGTTTAGCAGGATGTTAGCAACAACTCCTGACGTAATTGTGTACAGTGTACTCTTGAAGCTTGAGTAAAGGGAGCTTAGGACAATTACTTTGTATAGAATATTATTTCAACTAGTATATAATGGACTTTCGAACTTATCAGAAGTGATGAGGACAAGAAAAAAAAAGGTTCAAGCTCTGCCCGAAGTATAAGGTTGGGTTTTTATAACATACATGATTGGCATTATATCCCATAGGCCCCTCTTGGACACAGGCCCTGTGATCCAGTAAACAATCCCTGCTGGCCATCATTATTGTAGACCCCCTGCTGAGCAGGGAGCCCAATGTGGGACTCGATCCCGGGACTCCCTGAGCTGAAGGCAGTCGCCCAACCAACTGAGCCACCCAGGCGCCCCTAGACTAACCTTTATTGAGCACAGGCTATTTTGCCATGTTCTGTGCTCAGGGGATTTTCTACCACTCATTTAAGATGGATATTGACTCTATAAAGTGGTACGATTTGTATGCCCATTCACAAGTGAGAGATCTGAGACACAAATACATGAATTGGCTTTGAGGAAGCCTCAAAGTAACTTAGTGCTGGAGCTACGAGTTACATGCCAGCCATCTGACTCCAGAGCCTGTACCTAACCCCTATGTTTCTACCACTATTGTGGGCCAAACAGGGGGAAGGATCTTACAAACATTGAGCAACATCCTTTCACTTGGTAGCCTAGTGATTCTGACCATTCTCATCTTTGGAGCCCAAGTTGACATGTCCTACTCTACACTGCATTCTCCTCTGCCTAGGCAAAGGGAGACAGCACGATGACGGAATGGAAAAGGATGGGATGTTTTGATTTAAATCCTCATGGTTTTACTTACCTGGTGTAGCCCAGGTTGGTACATTCCATTTGCTTCCTCCAAGACTAGGAGACTCTATAGAGTCAAAGCTCCATGTGTTTCACAGCTGGTCCTTCAAGTATGAATAGCTGGCAAATATATAAGCAAAGGGCAAATCAGGAGAGGAGGCACTTTGAAATTGGCAGCAAAAATGCTTATCAACAGCCCCATGGAAAGGGCGTATGGGAAGTGAGGGGCTAAGCAGAGCTTTTATAGCTCTCCATTGAGCAGTGAGTATCCTGGTGTATTCTCTCAGGGAGGTCTGCCCTGTTTCTCTTTTCTAAGCAGGACCCTCAGTATTTTTTCTATCAAATGGGGGCAACCAATAAGATGACCGGCATCTACAGGAGGTTCCTGTGTTACTCTGGCCTATTCTAGGCACTCCCCTGGCACGCACATGTACCTTGTCTCTCCATCTAATCATTTCATTCCTGGAAAGTGACAGTGGGTCCATGAAAAATGAGGGGTGGAACTGCTTGGTCCACTTAGATGTGAATTTTTTTTTTTTATAAAACTATATCAACATTTTTCTCTAGCTTGCTCTATTGTAAGAATACAGTATGTAATACATACACAAAATATGTGTTAATGGACTATGTACGTTATCAGTAAGGCTTCCAGTCAACAGTAAGCTGTTAAGTTTGGGGGTTGTACAAAGTACATGCAGATTTTTGACTGCACGGAGGGTTGGCGCCCTCAACCTGAGCATTGTTCAAGGGTTTACTGTATAAGAAAAGTGCCCCCACTGTTTACTAATGCGATGCTTCTTTTTCTATTTTTTTTATCACAGCAGAATCTAAGAAAAAGAAAAAGGAGGGAAAGAAACAGGAGAAGATGCTGGACTAATAGATGCCACCTTCTGTGGAACATGAAAAGGACATCAGCAAACAGGATCAGTTAACTATTGCATTTATACCTATGTAGGCTTTTTATTCAAAAATTATCTATAGCTTAAGTACACAATAGGCAGAAACAGAACAGAAAAATTTTGTAGTAGTGTTTTTAAATGTATACCATAGGACCACTAGGGGCTTATAATAAAGGACTGTAATCCTATTTAGAAAGTTGACTTATAGTACATGATACATGGTAGAAAATTGAGGTAAGTTTTTTGAAGTTATGTGATATTTTACATTTAAAATCTTTTTTTTTTTACATTTTTTTTTCTTTTGGCAGCAATTTACGTGTTATGACCATGTAAACTACTTTTCTTGTTAGATAATTTTTTCACCTAGACTTTTTTTCCCAACTGAGAAAAATCTATACTAAACAAAGCAGCAATAAAATATAATCATCCAATCGGAGGAAAATATCTTGTTTTCTGCCAGTGGATTAAAAAAAAAAAAAACTTTGGTCAGCAAAATGGGGAAGGGGGCACAGCATGCTCTAATTCAATGTTGACTTTTTTTTTTTTTTAAGAAAAGCATTAAATTCTTTAACTTTGGCAGGAACATTTGTTTTCTTGATGAAATTATTTTTCCTTCTGAGAAAAAAAAAGACTAGGAAAATAAATCAAGGTGATGCTGAAAAAGGGTGCTTTTGTGTGCAGTGATTTGATATTGTAACCCTCTTTCTCTGTCCCCTGCACTCCCCCCAACCTGCTATCATACAAACTAATTAAAATCACTCACTCTTGGGCACAAATGTTATAGAGAGTTTAGGTATATAGATGTACATGTACATCTGTATATTTTTAACTATCAATATGTAGTGCTATGGAATTGAAAAGTCCCAAAGTAATCTAGAGTTTGATGGAACAGAAAAACACTCCTCTTATGTTGAATAAATTTGGGTGAGTTCACGTAATCCAAATCAGAAACAGAGTAACACATGCAAAATAGTAGTTTGTACTTGGTTTCCATAAGCCAAGAATTCCTACTCTATTATCTACTATATGTACCAAGTATCTACCAAGGACTATCTGTACAACTCCCTTATCTGCTAGGTTCCAAGTACAATCTTTAAATAAACAAGTCAATGCTTCTATTATTCAGAAAAATAACACTTCAGAAATCAGCTGAGATTAGCTAGTATTACACTTGAAAAAGCCACCTCTAATTTTAAAGTGATAAGACTCAATAAACAAACACCTGTCTACCAAGATAACTCCAAGTCCACTTTCAGAAATAATAGTTTAAACATACCTTGCACTAACCATAAAATAATTACAAACTAGTCTAATGATGCAGCAAAGAGCCTTCAAAGCTAAACTGTTCTGCCATCTAACCAAAGACTCCACTTGAGCTAGAAATGTTGAGGGGGTTCCTATCTCCCCACTAAGTCAAAATCAACTGCCAGTGGGGAACAGAAAAACCCAGAACATTTTATGGACTGGTGCTTAATAAAAGCAGAGTACCTTGTAAAGAGCAAATGACAGAAACAAGCACCGTGAATGCAGTCCTTTTACAAGAGGACCTTAATAGGAAAAAAGCACTCATGGGGAGGGATGGAGGAGAAGAAAGTCTTGAGTAGGGTTTTTTATAGCAAATCCCATAAGGAGAGAGATGGTGGAAGAGTCTGTAGCAAATTTTGTTAGCCTCTCACCTAATATTGCTCCTCCATCATCCTTTAGCCAAAACAGCAGCTCATGAATCGGTAATGAGCGAAGGTAAATTAGAACAAAATCTCCCAAAGGAAAAGCAGCCCTGTAAATGATCATGGCATCCCCTTCATTCACAGGGCGTGGAGGATGATTCCTAACAAACCATAAAATAACTCTCTGATTCTCTGTTAAAGCAAGGGTTGGAATGCTAATTGCTGTTGCATAGGCTATGAAATTAAACTTCCTCTAAGTCTTGAGAATTATTCTACCCCAGCACCAGCTTAAAACATCTTGCTAGATCTCACTGAAGTACTGAAAACATAAATACAAAAGGACAAGCCCCCAAAAAATCACTGCTTCTCACAAATAGGAGCAGACATCATCAGTCATTTCAGAGAGTGCTCCAGCAAACTCTTCTTCCCAAATGTTCTGAATTTTATGGACTTTACCTTAAAGTTTATTTAGCCTTGAGGCAGGAAAGGAAAATATAAAGAAATCAGCTCTGATAGAAAAAGAGGCTTGGGAAGATGGCAGAGTAGGAGGACCCTAAGTTCACTCCGCCCCACGTTTACAACTAGTTATCACTCATATCCAAGAAAATAAATTGGAGAGCTATCCGAGGACTGGCAGAACAAGTTCTGCAACTAAATGTAGAGAAGCAGCCTTGTTGGAGAGGTTAGGAATTAGAGAGGTTAGGAAGAGCAGACATGGTGGTTTTGAGCTGACCAAAGGAAGGAGAGAGCTGTGGACACAGAGAGGGGAAAACACAAAGGAGCCCACACAGGGAAAATGAATCTCCATAACATCTGGCCTTGAAAACCAGAGGGGCTGAATTCTGTGAGTCTGTATAACCAGTGGGACTGGGAGCCTGGAGCTTTAAAAGTCAGCTGACTTAGCACTGTTAGCACTGGTTGAGCCAGGATAGAAAGTAATAGCTGGGTCTCTGCCCCTGAAGAGACAACAACCGAAGGAGAATCAACATAGAAGCCACTGTATGCACAACAGGAGGGAGATCTGATTATAGTAATTTCAGAGAGAGCTGGGGGGACTCCTCTGGGAACAAAGGAGCTGGCAGGCACTATCTTCCTCCCCTGCCCCCCAGCATAAACAGAGCCACCAGAGGGAGGTGGCATGGCACAGACACTTGCTACCTACCTCACTAGCAATGTGCTCTGCCCACGAGTTCTGAGGACTTGCCCGCGGCAGCCACCAGGCTGCAGGGGATACAACCTGGGACCAGCAGCTCAGTGCAAATTTTGCTAACACTGCTGCCCTGCCCCTGAGTCCTTCTGTGGTCATGCCTCCTGAGACCCTACATGCTTGGCTCTCGTGAACATCACAGAGAGCAAGCACTGGCCACAACAGAGAGTCCATACAGACATCTGGCCTGAAAGGTAATGGGACTCAGACACAAGAGCAGGACACAAGCAACACAAGTAGAAGACTCCCCTGAAGTGCCGGGTTCTGGTGAACAGAAGCCACTGCCCTGCAGGGCACTACAGGACCTCCTCTTCATACAGTCACTACTTGCAAGAGCAGAAGACACAGCTGACTGACCTAACACACAGGAAAAGCAGACACAGAGAGGTAGACAAAATGAAGAGACAAGAGAGATATGTCCCAAATGAAAGAACAGGACAAAATCAGAGCAGAAGATCTAGGTGAAACAGAAATAATATGCCTGATACAGAATTTGAAGTAATGATCATAAAGATACTCCCTGGACTTAGAAAAGCATGGAGGACATCAATGAGACCCCTGACAAAGAGATAAAAAATATCAGAGATGAAGAACTTAATACTTGAAATTAAAAATGCAATAGATGGAATAAGTAGTAGACTACAGGAAGCAAAGGAATGTATCAGTGACCTGAGGATAGAGTAATGGAAAGCAATCAAGCTAAACAGGTGACAAACAAATACCGCATAATGAGCATAGACTTAGAGAACTCAGCATAACAATCACATTATAGGGATGCCAGAAGAAGAGAGAGAAAGGGGGACAGAATATGGATTTGAAGAAATGATACCTGAAAACTTCCCAAATCTGGGGATGGAAACAGAGATCCAGATTCAGGAGGTAAAGAGATTCCCCCAACAGATTCAACCCAAGGCGATCTACACCTAGACACATAGTAATTAAAATGGCAAAAAAAAAAAAAAAATGATAAGGAATGAATTTTAAAGTTTCCAAGAGAAAAGGCAATTATATACAAAGGAAATTCCATAAGGCTACTGGTTGATTTTTCAGCAGAAAGTTTGCAGGCCAGAAGAATGGCATGATGTATTCAGTGCTGAAAAGGAACAATCTGCAGCCAAGAATACTTTATCCAGCAAGACTATCATTCAGAATAGAGAGAGAGAGAGAGAGAAAGTTTGCAGACAAAGAAAGTTAAAAGAATTCATGACCATTAAACCAGCCCCATAAGAAATGTTAAGGGGGACTCTGTGAGTAGAAAACAAAGACCCAAAGTAAAAATAAAAATAGAAGCATGAAAGCAAAAAAAAAAAAAAAAAAGTATATCTGTAAAAATCAGTCAAGAGAAGCACAAAATAAAAGGATGAAAAATATGGTATCAAATATCTGAAATGTGGAGGGGAGAGGAATAAAGAATGAGTTCAAAATTAAGTGACCATCAGCTTAATACAAACTCTTACATGCAGAAGATATTATATATAAGCCAAATGGTAACCACAAATCAAAAAACAGTGATATGCAAAAAAAGAGTAAAGAATCCAAGTATATCAATAAAGAAAACCAGCAAACCATGAAAGAGAGAAAGAGAAGAAAGGACTGGAGAAAAACTACAAAAACAAGTAACAAAATGGCAAATACATATCTATCAATAATTATTTTGAATGTAAAATGACTAAATGCTTCAGTCAAAAGACGTAGGGTGATGGAATGGATAAAAAAGCAAGACTCACCTATATGCTGCCTACAAGAGACTTATTTCAGAGCTAAAGACGTCTGCAGACTGAAAGTGAGGGGATAGAGAAACATTTATCATGTAAATGGATGTCAAAAGCCAGAGTAGCAATACTTGTATGAGACAAAATAGACTTTAAAACAAAGTCTGTAAAAAGAGACAAGGGCACTATATAATAATAAAAGGGACAATCCAACAAGAAGATATAACAATTGTAAATACTTATGCACCCAAATACATAAAGCAGCTAATAACACACATAACGGAGTGAATCAGTAGTGATACAATAAAAGTAGGGAACTTTAACACCCCGCTTACATTGATGGACAGATCGTCCAACAAGGAAACAATGACTCTGGATGACACACTGGACCAGATGGATTTAACAAATATAATCAGAACATTCCACCCTGAAACAGCAGAATACACATTCTTTTCAAGTGCACATGGAACATTCGTTCTCCAGAAAAGAACACATATTAGGCCACAAAACAAGTCTCAACAAATTTTGGAAGACTGAAGTCATACTATGCATCTTTTCTGACCACAACACTATGAAACTAGAAGTCAACTACAAGAAAAAAATCTGGAAGATCATAAATACACGGAGGTTAAATAACATACTACTAAATAATGAATGTGTCAACCAGAAAAAAATCAAAAAGTACATGGAAGCAAGCAAAAATGAAAACACAATGACTCAAAACCTTTGGGATGCAGCAAAATTGGTTCTAAGAGGGAAGTTTATAGCAATACAGGCCTACCTCAAGAAGCAAGAAAAATCTCAAACAATCTAACCTTATACCTAAAGGAGCTAGAAAAAGAA